GTCTTCTACTCACCTTAATCCGCCTCTACTGTGTCCTCCGCCAGACCAGTTGCAGCCACAGTTACAGCCAGCCTTTCCACTGCCTGATCCTTATCCTTACACTGAGCAGAAAGACTCTCTTATAGAGCATCGTGAGCCTGGGTCTCACCCTACATCGCCTGTTTGCGCTGGTCGCACTGGTAGTCGTGTTCCGAGTTCGCGTCCTCCTCCTGTCCCAGGCACTCACAGTATGACACTTCGTCCTTCCTCTGTTCCACTACGAGTTCCCATGTCGTCTCCTCCTGCGTCCTCTCTTCCTGACGGTCCAGACCCTTAGTCTGACTTAGTTCCTGCTGCCAGTCCTACTATCACACGGCTTCTAGCCACTATTGTCACCAACCCGTCATTTGAGTCCACTACTGCATCTGCCCTAGTTGCTCAGCTTGTCGACTTTTCTACTAATTGTCATCTCGACTACGCACCTGTCTTGTTGCTGAGTCTGAGCCTGTCTGTCCTCCGTCCGTCGAGGGTGAGTGTGTTCTTCGCACGGACGTCCTTGGGGACAGGCAGGAGGACTTTGAGTGTCTTGCGGCTGCTCTACCTCATCTCGTGTCCATGCTGCTTGCACCTGAGGGAGACCCGGATTTTGCAGACATCCCGACCCCGCGCTCTTACGCAGAGGCGATTACGGGTCCCTACTCCTCTCAGTGACAGACAGCCATGGATGCAGAGATGGCATCCTAGAAGTCCATAGGCACTTACGTCGACGCAGTTCCCCCGCCTGGGGCGAACATTGTCGATAGCATGTGGATTTTCAGGGTGAAACGGCCGCCGGGAACTCGGCCTCAAGGCTCGTTACATTGCCAGAGGCTTTAGTCAGCGACAGGGAGTTGAATTCTTCCAGACCTTCTCCCTTACCCCAAAGATGACCACTCTTTGGGTGCTGCTGCACGTCGCCGCTCAGCGTGACTACGGGCTCCACTCTCTTGACTTCAGCACAGATTTCTTATACGGCACTCTACACGAGGAGATCTGGCTGCGCCGCCCACCTCGCTTCACTGGGTCGTTTCCTGCATGCACCCAGTGGAGCCTCCGGCGGCCTGTCTACGGTCTTTGCCAGGTGCCTCCTGAGTGGCACGACATACTAAGGACGACACGTGCAGCTCTTGGGTTTGCTCCTTCGACCGCTGACCCGTCGCTCCTTCTGCGCAGCGACACTTCGCTCCCGCCGTTCTACATCCTCGTGTACGTTGACGACTTGGTTTTTGCCACTGCTAACAGTGAGGCACTGACTCTAGTGAAGTCGGAGCTGCGGAAGAGACACACGTGCACAGACATGGGTGAGCTGCGCAACTATCTTGGCTTGCAGATCACCCGGGACAGAGCACGCCGCACCATCACCCTGACTCGGTCACACATGGTGCAGCAGGTCCTTCAGCGCTTCGGCTTCACTTGGTCCTCGCCACAGTCCACTCCTCTGCCTACCGGTCACTTGCTCTCAGCTCCACCTTCGGACGAGTCCGTAGAGCCGAGTGGCCCGTATCCAGAGCTTGTGGGCTGCCTCATGTACCTGATGACCTGCACTCGACCTGACCTTGCTTACCCTCTCAGCATTCTGGCATGCTACGTTGCGCCCGGGAGACACCGACCAGAGCACTGGGAGGCCACTAAGAGGGTGTTACGCTATTTGTGCAGTACGTCGGGCATGGGGCTCGTGCTTGGAGGACGGAGTCGATTTGTTCTCATTGGCGGCCACGTAGACGCATCTTGGGTTGACGGCTTGGGTATGCAGCGGTCATCACAGGGTTACATATTCATCCTTAGCTCTAGTTCTGTTTCTTGGCGGTCTACCCACTCGTTTTCTGTTCTCAGTTCCAGTTGTGAGGCTGAGATCTAGGCAGGGGCCATGGCTGCACAGGAGTTACACTCGCTCACCTACCTGCTGATCGACTTGGGAGAGCGGCCAGTTCTCCTCTAGTTCTGTACGTAGACAACAAGGCCATTATTTCCTTGTGTCAAGGGCACGGTTTGGAGCACAGGACGAAGCACATCGCTCTATGTTACTTCCTTGCTCGGGAGTTGCAGCAGCGTGGTCAGCTTCGTCTTTCTTACGTGGCCACTTGAGCCAACACCTCTGATATATTCACCAAGGAACTTCAGTCTGGTGACCATCAGCGTTTGTGTACTGTTTTAGGCCTTGTGCCTACGTTGCCTCACTTTCTCACTTCGTGACTTTGCTTGTACTGTGATGTATATACTTGTACCTGCATCCTTGTACTTGCTAGGTTGTGATCACTATACTGTTTGTTCCCATTTATATAACTCTGCAAGTGAATTGGCCTTGTGGCCATTTGCTTGTGCTCAGTGTGTGTGGTGACTTCGTGATCCACCCTGAGCTTGCTGTGCTTTTCTTGACTTGCCTTGTGACCCCTTGTTCTCCCCTACTTTGCCTATGGGGGTGTGTCAAACTATCATGTTGTGCGTGCTGTGTAGGCTTTAGTGATTCTTGTATATGGTACAACCCAATTAGGGTCATACTTGTATCAACTTTCTGCTCTATGCATCCATTCTTGCTCGTTAGATTCCGACATCTCTTACTGCCACTGCTGCTGATGCCAGTACTCGCGCAGATTGCGCTAGCCATGGTGCTTCCGCCCGTCTCATGCTCGGCTGCCATCCTTTCTCAACCGAGTTTCACCACTCGTTCTTCCAGGTAATGCTCATCATGTTCATCTCTACTGATGTCTATGTAGCTTGTGTTTCGTACCAAGCTACCAGCACATCTGCTTCACTTCCATGTGTTCCCTCTACCGCGTTGTCTTCCGCGCACTCACTTTCACTAATCTTCAACTTTATGTGGTTCTGCCTACCTACTTCTCTCCCACCTTATTGATCGCCACGTGGCATGGCAACTTGTTCATTTTGCAGGCCAGGTGCCGGAGTCTGTTGACCTCAATTACAGCTATATGTTCGCACATATATGTGTTTACAGATGTTTTAGATGTTCTAGAGATGAGTATGGGCCACTGTCGATGGTCTTTACACATTTCAAAAAGAGCAGTAGATGGAAAAAGGCTTGTCACACGGTGTGCGAGTGTAAAAGTGTGGATGTTTTCTAGTTAAGACACTGCTAGTAAAAGACACTGCTATGTACGTGTGATTGTTTTGCACAAGCAAACCTCATTGCACATTTCAAATACAATTACGGTACATTTTGGTTCAGATTTACGTCCTACGGCAGCCAGAGCCTGTTCCGAAATCAATTTCCCCGCTAGCCTGTTCCTTGGTATAGCGAAATAATCCTTGGTTCGGATACAGGCAACAGGGGGGAGAAAACACTGAGGACCACGAAAGCTGACTTGCTGGCAGGGATGGCAGTTATTGCTAAGGTTGGCGGAATGCCTCATGCGGAACGAACGTGATCGGCGAACCCTAGGGAGGGAGAGTTCTCGGAAGTTTGCGTCCTAGGGTTTCAGTTAGCTGAGTCAGAAAGCAGCAGTATGCTAAGTACTGAGCAAAAGAACTCAATACCCCTAATCTCTCCACTGACAGCTGGCCTTGTGAGGCTCCGTATGATGCGAAGCTGCATGCTAACCTGATCCGCGAGCTGCAATGTGGTCAATCCACGTGTAAATTCCAAATAGCTGTTCTGCTGCGAGCTGAATGAGCATCTTACTGGCTGCCGCACGCACATTCTGCGGCATCGACTCAGCGTTCCGCCGCTCCAGGTGCGTGGGCAAATTCACGGTCGAGCAACGGTCACTTCTAGCACGAGAGGTCTTATTTGTCAGGAAAAAACATTAGTAGACCATATTTCCTTTCCTATTCTGTTCTCGTGGAATCCGTGGCCAAGCCATCTAACTCTTGCGAGGTTGTATTAAGCTTCACCTTAGCTGCCACTTCGTGCAAGCAACTTTAATCATGGACTCGAGTACAACCCACATCAACGATCTCCCCGACGACGTACTCATCCGGATCTTGTGGCCTTCCAAACAATCAAGCTCGTGTAGATCCGACAGCGATGATCTTTGGAACTCTCTGTCTTCTAAGCCCACGTACCTTGTCGCGCACGCTACTCCAGAAGAGCACTGGTGCAAGCGCAGGGATACTACCATGCCGACCCCTCCGGCCTCCACAGATGCCGCGCATATCCTCTTCATTGCATCGATTTGCCTTCGCTGGCGGCGTCTCGCTCAGAGCTGTGTCACAGCGCCGCTCGTCAATTAGAATCGCATTGTGTCTCATCGCGACGTGCTCACCGCCGTTGCTTACTTCCCGAGCCTGACCCATCTGCATCTGTCGGACGGAAGTGTTGAAACTTTGGACGACGCGTTTCTAGCTGACCTCGCCCGTTCTTGCCCTGGGTTGAGAGCGCTGCACGTGGGGAAGCTGATTGAAGTGGTGGGGCAATACAGGAGGAATGGCCGCGTGATTACTGAATCTGACGTGGATATTTTCTTCCGTCACTGTTCTCACCTGGAGCAGCTGTCGCTGCAGTGTCTTGAGGAAAACCTGAACCCACCACCTTCGTTCTTTCAGCTTCAACATCTGAGCATCCTCTCCTTGACCACTCCTTTCATCTTAAATCCTCTGAATCGCAGCTCTTTTTCATCTCTCACTGCAGTGTCCATTGAAACCTCCCTCCTTCACTACGAGCAGCTTTCCAGCCTCCTTCACCTCACCAACCTCACCCACCTTTCCTTGCCTTCGATTTGCCTTGCTTCACCAAATCCGCTTGCCTTCTCACTCGCACAGCTACCCTCACTTGAGTCGCTCAAGTTAGGACTTTCGGATGTAGATTTCAGCATTCTCTTCCCTCTTCTATCTCCGTACAGGTTCTTAAAACGCTGCAAGTTACACATGGCTTCACCCCACAGCCAGACGGGCTCCCAAACAGTATAGGAGAGGTGCTGCCACGCCTCCAGGAGCTCAGCATCAGTAGGTGCAGACTCTTATGCGATCTTCCCGACCAGTTCACCTCCCTCGCGTGCCTGGAGAGATTGACCATTTCCTCATGCGAAATGTCCAATCTGCCCGACAACTTCGGGAATCTTCTAGCCTTGAAGGCCCTGGTGCTGAACAGGCTGCCACTTCTCTGTCTCCCTGCTTCCTTCACCAGACTCGCATCTCTGGAGTCGTTGATTTTGTTTGGGTGCAAGGAGGTGGAGGAGCTACCTGCAGGTTTGGGTGCCTCACAGCACTCCGGACTATGAGCCTTGCATATGTCCCCACTCTGCACCTTCCAGAAGACATGGGCGGCCTCACCAATCTCCACACCTTCCATCTCAAAGAGAGCAGGCAAGTGCAGCTGCCGTCCTCATTCACGCAGCTGGAGTTGCTGACCAGGTTGGAGCTGGATCGGTGCGAGATTTCAGAGCTGCCAGAGGGCCTGGGGGAGATGAGAAACTTGCAGGAGCTCCACATTCAGAAGTGTCCGGCCTTGAAGGAGCTTCTGGAATGTGTGACGGCGCTCACTAGCCTTCAAGTGCTGAGGATTCAAGAGTGACGCCATCTCTCATCGGTTCCCAGGAGGCTGGACAGCCTTACCAGGCTGAAGCAGTTGGAGCTGAGGGAGTGTGGGCTGCTGAACGAAGCTCCTCAGGCTCTGCCACTCGGTTTGCAGGCTCTACCTTACAACAAAAATTGGCAGGGGGCGTCTCTGCCAGACATTTCAACACTTCTAGAGCTCGGGAAACTTTGCTTGTGCGATGTCACCGCAACATGCCTTGAGGCCATCAGTGAGCATCTCTCGTGTGGAGCTCCTGGAGCTGATGATGGGAGACGATGCAGGGGAGTCCCTTTTCGCATTGACAAGGCTTCCTCGCCTCTGCACCTTGACACTCAGAAATGTCCGCAGTGTGAACAGGCTGGTGGAATCTGACAGCCCGGCGTTGCAGGAGCTACGGCAGCTGAACATCACCAGGTGTCGTGAACTCACGGAGCTGCCTGCTGCCATCACCACTCTTCACCACCTGACATCCCTTCACATCTACGCGCCAAGGTTATCTTCCCTTCCAAATGCCATTGGGGCATTTTCAAGACTGCGCAAGCTGGACTTTTCACGGTGCTTATCACTCACGCACCTCCCTACTTCCCTCACGCAGCTCTCGTGTCTGCATGAGCTGAACGTCAGCGTCACCCGCATCCATTTTCTTCCTCCTGGCTTTGCTCAGCTCAGCAGACACAAGAAGCTTGACATCTCTGGCTGCACAAAACAGAAGCTCACGTGCAAGGGGACAGAAATACCGTAGGTGGACGGGCGGGGGAGGAGGGGAAGGAGTGGGAAAGAGTGGGGCTTGAGGGGAGAGGCAGGAAGCATGGGGGTTGCAAGGAGGGTTATGTGGGAAAGGGTAAGGGGAAGGGGAGGAAGAGGGAGGAGAAATTTCTTTCTGGCTCAGTGGAGTGTCCACATGCATTGCATCATGTTATAGATTCAATCACGTGTAACTGCGGGCAACGGTTAGTCCGGTCATGTCTTTCCATTTGAATAGATGTGTTGGCATGGGTATGTCTTGGAGTATATCATTTCATTTTATATTTCCCTCTCCTATTTTCCCTCCAGTCACTCTTTGTTTCTGAAGCAATCAATTCACTTGGAACCTCCTTCCCGTATTCTCACCCTGATTTTCGTCACCCTTGTTTCCTCCCCATTGTGCAGCATTGCCAGGATGCTGTGCCCTTCCACCTGAAGCCACTTCACCCGGTTTCGGTCTTCAGATTGCCACATTCAGGCCTGTCATGTGCAGATGCTCGGGACCACGCTTACATGACCACGCACTGCACCCATCACCCTGCATGACGATCATGATTCCATCATTGTACAAGTTCGTGCATGGTCAGCACAACCATGAATGCACAACACCTTCTAGCGTACGTGAGTGGTGGTGCATCAAACGACTATACCATGGCTCATTAGTACTCTGTGAAGGAAAATATAACAAAAAAAGTGCCTAGCCACCTCACTTTTTCTGCTCTGTCCAAACCCTCCTTCCATTCGCAAAGCCCTCTTTCCAATCTTGCTTCATACAACCCTCCTTCTCCCCTTCATCACCCCATGATTCTCGCTGCCATTCCAGCAGCATCTGTATTAACCTCGTGGGTCTCATGGCTCTGGAGAACCTGAGTACGCCACACGAAGAACAGTTAAAACCTTTCCAACAACCCCACTTCTCTCATCTTCCCCACTACCTCTCATAACCCCCAATCCTCATACCCCCATTCCTCTCATCCCCCCACTCCTCTCTCTCACGTCACCCCCCCCATTCGTTATGCGCCCCACTCCTCTAAGCTCTGCAATGCATTTCATGATGCCATGAGAGATTAACATGCAATCTTTTTTTGTTCTGTAACATTGAGCATGCGCATTCATCAGTCTATGTGAGCTTTAACATACTATTCATCATTCCTTGAGACAATTAGCACGCCAATTATCATGCAATGGGACATACAACATGCAATTCTTCTTGCTTGTCTTACCATTCAATTTGATGTGTTGGCATGGGTATGTATTTGTGTAAGTCGTCTAATTATATGTTCCCCTCTCATTTTTGCCCCCCTGTCACCCCTACATTCCTCCCCATTGTGCAGCATTGCCACGTGCTATGCCTTCCAGCTGAAGCCCCTTACCTGGTTTCGTTATTGGTATTGCCATAATCAGGCCTTGTCAAATGGTCAGATCAGACTCAGAACCACGCCGAAGTGACCATATAGTGCATCATTATCCGTGAACGACACTCATGACAATCATGATTCCATCATTGTACATGTTTGTGCATTGTAAATTGTATGCACATGCACCACACGCATAAACGCCATCTAGTATACCTGAGTGATGGTGCATCAAGCAACTGTTCCATGACTCCTCACGTCAGTTCCACGTAAGACAGCCATAGCACTTTTTTCTGCTCTGTCCAAACCCTGCTTCCTTTCCAGACCCGCTTTGCAAACTTGTTTCATATAGCCCCCCTTTGAACCTCCTTAACCCTTTTATACTCACCGCCATTGCAGCAGCATCCATCTTATCCTCATGGGTCTCATCGGTAGGTCTCATGAGACTCATGGGTCACATGAGTCTCATGATTCTCATGGGTCTCATGGGTCTGGACAACCTGAATACGCCATAGTTATGAAAACGGTTAAAACCCCTAACACACCCACTCCTCTCATCTTCCTCCCTCCGCTCATCTTTCCAACTCCTCTCATTCTCCCCGCGCATCTCTTACTGCCCTCTCCTATATTACCCCTCACTGCTCTCATATCCCCACTCCTCTCTTATCCCCCACTTCCCTCATGCCCCCCACCCCTCTCGTATCCCCCTGCATTAACTCTCCTCATACCCATCACTCCTCTCATACCCCCCACTCGTCTCATATTCCCCACTCCTCTCATACCCCCCCCAATTTTCATCCCACCCATGCCTTTCCATCCCACCCATAAATTTCCTTCCCAACCTTTCCTTTTCATCCCACCCATGCCTTCTCATCCCACCCTTGCCTTTCCGACCTACCCATGCCTTCTCATCCCATCCAGGCATTCTCATCCCACCCAGGCTTTCTTATCCCACCCATGCCTTTTCATCCCACCCATGCCTGTGCCTTGCGTTGGCAGGCCCACTAGTGTGCTGCTCCCTGTGCTGTGGCTCAGTTCAGGGAGAGGAATGTGTGCAATTTCTGCAACATGCTTGTGCAAGCATTGGTCCCTGTGAAGTTGCAAGGTTTATTGTACAATGTGCTACGGTATGCTACGCCTGATAGAATTCTGCCAAGTGTGTTTGGTGAAGTGGTTGTTTGGCACATGTCTTCGTCTTATCCCCACCCCGCTCCCCCTCCCAACACATACAAAGCTGGCCTCTGCCATGCCAACCAATAAGGCTTGATATGATTCTCTTCATCTGAGAAAGGCCAGCAGGTTCATTTGACCAGATGAACCATGCCAGTCAGGGCATGTGTGTTGTATAGAGCAGAGTTATGCTCCGCAACTAAGCTATGCAAGGTATTGAGTAGTGCAGTAGAGCTTGATTTACAGTTCATGAAGGCAGCAAATATAATCAGCATACCAGTTTAAAGATACCATTGTACCTCAGCCACCAACAGCTGAGAGGTCATAACTCATAAACGTATCTTTGTTTCTAAATTGTATGGTGTTGTGCTGGTGGGATATGATAGGAGGGCCAAAGGTAGCTCCCTGGGACAGGATGTACATGGGTGGGACCACCTTAGAAGGATATATATATATATATATATATATATATATATATATATATATTTTTTGTCATGCCAAATGGTGACATGCTCCAGACATAAGTATGTAAGAATGAGGTGAGCATGCCGCCATTCTTGGGCAGCAGCTGGCTACTGTTCAACTGCATCCATGCGAGATCGTATCAGCGTCTGCCAAGTGTCGAGATCTAGTCGAGTGACAGCAGCTCCTTGCTGTTGCGGAAGGTGAGGATGATGAAGGGTGAGAAGAGACAGAGATGGTACCTAGAGAAACCACAAAGGGCTAGGAGGAAGATGGAAGGCAGGATAGGGCAGGCAGAGAGTTTAGGAGATCAAGAGGGAGACGGTGATGAGAGTGGCTTTGCTCCTGCCGGTTCATGCCTGCGGACGGGAGGGAGGGGAGATGGCAGGCAAGGGTGGGCCCAGACAAGGGTGGGCCTAGGCAAGGGTGGGCCCAGACAAGGGTGGGCCTAGGCAAGGGTGGGCAAGGCATGGCAGGAAGAATGAGCAAGGAAGGGCAGGGAACGCGAGGATGATGAAGGCTAAGAAGAGGCAATGCACTGTTAAACCCTTGCTTTTTGGAAGGCACAGACTGCATCCCCCACCTCTCCTCCCTTCCCACTCACACGCTGCCTTATCCCTCAGGTCACTGCCTTACCTCCCACCTCGCTGCCTCATCCACTGCCCCACTCCCATGTCCCTCTTCTCACCACCTACCCAGTAAGAGGGCCCGAGGGAGTCGAAACAGGTGGCAGTGCCGTGGCAACCCAGGGGCCCGGGGAGTCGGTAGGGCGGGGAGGTCATTATCCCATAGCGTCCTGCCACGATGAGCTGAAAGAGCTGGGGGGTGGTGGGTGGGGGGGATGATGGAGAAGGGAGGGATGCGGTGAGGCTCATGCTATAGTGCCGGGCTGGGGGGGGAGGGATAGAGGGGAGGGCTTGCCGGGAGAGGGTGGGGAGGGGTTGAAGGGTGGGTGCACTGGGAGAGGGAGGAGGGAGAAGCAAAGAGAGTGGGAGCAATGAGGTTACGGCATGATAGTTGCACGCCGCAGCGTGCTGAAATGGTGCCCCCCACGAGCTGGAGGTGTGGGCGGTGGGAGAGAAATGGGGGTTGTGGTGGAGGAAGGACGACGCAGCAAGCGAGGGCAAGCAAGGAAAGAAGAGCGGGGAGAGCTACACACTGCATCGTCTTGACCCAATTTGTTGGAGGAGCTGGGGTGAAAGTGGAAAGGAGATGTGAGGATGGGAAGATGGAGGGGAGGCGGGAGGAAGAAGCGACGGGTAGGGGCAAGCAAGGAAGGGCAGTGCACCGCACCCTGTAATGCCGGGCATGGTGTGGTGAAATGAAAGAGCGTGAGCTGGCAGGATACAAGGGAGGGGCAGGCAAGGAGCATGGGTGCAGGAGGAGGTATGGGGAGAAGGTACGGCAGGAGGTATGGCAGGAGGTATGGCATGAGGTATGGCAGGAGGTACGGCAAGTGGTATGGCGAGGAGGTATGGTAGGAGGTGTGGCGAGGAGGTGTGGTAGGAGGTATGGGGAAGAGGTACGAGGAGGAGGTATGGGGAGGAGGTACGGGGAGGAGGTATGGGGAGGAGATACGGGGAGGAGGTAAGGGGAGGAGGTATGGGAAGGAGGTACGACATGAGGTATAGTAGGAGGTATGATGAGGCATGCCATAGCACCCTGCCATGAGGGACTAATTAGCTGAGCAGAGGGTGGGTTGGGGGATTAAGGGACGGGGGAAGAAGTGACGAGCACGGACAAGCAAGCACAGGAGAGCTGCACGCTGTAATTCGGCAAAACTGAGGGGGTATGGGTTGGGTGAAGGCACTGACCGGCATCAATAGCAGCAAGGCGAGAACCAAAGGGACAGGCGAGTGGGAGAGGGAAGAAAGGTCGAGGAAAAAGCGGGAGAATGAAAAAGCGGGGAAGAGATTGCGGGGTAGAGGGAAATAGCGGGAGAGGGAAAAATCAGGAAAGACACTCACTTCACTCACTCCCACAGTGGCCACGAGAATGAGGGACGTGGCAGGGCAATTCCTCAACTCCACATGTGGTGGAGGTTGATAGCAGTGGTGGTGGCCATGGTGCCGAGGCAGGCGAGGAGGTAGTGAGACTGGTGAAGGCTACTGGTTGCACAATGCACAGCTGGGGAGGGGGGGGAAGGGGGTAGGGGGAGGAGGGAAGGGATGGCAGCGGGGAACAGATGGACAAAAGGAGAGAGGAATGAGATGGAGGTCACTGGCAGCACCATACCAGCCTGAGGATGGGGGACGGATGGTGATGGGGGTGGGGATGGAGAAGGGGAAGGGGACGCTGAAGGTGAAGGGGATGGGGAAGGGGATGTTGATTGGAAGTGGGAAGGCAGAAAAATGATACAGAGTAATAGATGCTATGCACCTGGGCGGTGATAGTGGTAGTGGCCAGAGTGACCCACGTCAGACGAAGAGTTTGCGGTGTGAAGAGTTTGACATGGGCGAGTGAGAGGTGGTGAGTGATGGGGCGGGGGGTAGGTAGGAAGTTGCGGTGTGAAAGTAGATTTGTTTTGAAACGTGGTGAGTGATGTGGGGGAGGAGTTGCTAGTAGGAAATGCGAGTCATTGTGTGCTGCGCGCATGCTCTCACCTTGATATACCTGCCGAGCTGCACACCTGGCTATATTAATACAAGGACCGTTCAAGATAGGTGTGAGAAAAATGGTTTGGTGATGGGAAGGAGGGGTGGTGGAAAGGGAAGGGGGGCGGGACAGAAAGTGGCGATGTATAAGTAGATTATTTTTAAATCAAAGTGGGTGAGTGGGGGAGCGCGTGCCAGTGGGAGGGTAGGTGAGACAGAAAAGAGGGGTCAGAGGGAAATGCGAGTAAGGTTTGTGATAAGAAAGTTGTGGGTAATGGGAAACTTAAAAGGGTGGTGGAGTTGAGAAGGGAGCAATGCTGTAGAGTGTCAGTCTTTGTTAGTCCGCGGATTGCTACGCTTAAAAATACCATGGGAGGGCATTCGCAGGGCATGTACGGACAGAGTATTGGACACTTTGAACACACAGCTGCGATGCATTCAGCTGGGCGGCATTCGGCCTCTCACCAATAAACCTCCAGCCTTCCACGACCAGAAACACAGTTGAATCACCTGAAAGTTACCTGAGTGTGACCTGGAAATCTCCACAGTGACTTGCGAGTTACCTGGAAAATTCCCGAGAGTGATATGAGAGTGACCTGCTAGTGAATTACTGGTGACCCATAACTAGCAGGTCACCTTGTGAAGGACGATGTTCCTCATACCACCCACACACCTTCTGCACCCACTGAAGAGCAGCAACAAGTGAACCATCACAGCCCACTTCGTTCCTCTCCCCATGCACCTCCTCCTTCCACTTCTCGTCTGTGGGGAACCACATCGCCACGAGGCAGCACCCCACCTCACAAGGGACCTCTCGTGCACCTCTCGGGCACGTCCGCCACGTCAACAGCTCACAGGCTGCCCGTGAACAGTGGGCCCATGCCGGTGGGGCGAAAATCCATGGAGCGGCTCTCCATGGACAGGCTGCCTGTGAAAAGTGGGCCCACGCCGGTGGGGTGAAAATCCATGGAGCGGCTCTCCATAGATAGGCTGCCCGTGAACACTGGGCCCACGGACTGACTCCAGCTTGGTCAATCTGTTGGGCGAGAGTTGGTGCAGGAGAGGAGAGGCAGGTGCAAAGATGGAGGAGTGGGGAACGGGAGAGGGACGGGGGAACAAGAGAAAACAGCACAGCGGTTTGTGAGAGGGGTACGAGACATTGTCGTTGGGCGGCGAGTCGGCGCAGTGGGGCAGAAGCTGGTGTAGGAAAATCAGGTACTGAGCAAGAAAGCACGGGAGGGGAGGAGGAGAAAAGAGGGGAAAGGAACAGTGCAATGCTTGTATCAGTTTTGAGAAATCTCAAGGGGCTATGAGAGAGTCATCACGAAACTGGGGTTTCTGGTTTTCCAACCGAAAGCCATTCGTTGATAATTGGAGGGGTATTTCCAATCGTCAACGCCTCGCAAACCTGTCCAGTACGCCAGTAGGTTTCGACATCCCAGTTTTCGAGCGGCTCGTTTGCGTGTTGCCAAGTATTTCATCGGAATGTTGGTTAACACCAACCAATCACTGAGATACGGGAGGCGAGCCTCCGGCTTGGCTGAGGTTGCGAAATGCCCCAGTCGCTAGCGAACCAATTGTTTGATTGGAGGTTCCGAGGTGTTGGGGCTTCGACAATGTGGGACCAAGACATCGTATGGGTGACATGTAGATGTGGCATGTAGAACGGGAATGAATTTCAAGTAGATGCTGGTTTATATTTTGTGGCTAATATTAATTTCAATGTACTTGTACAGTGTGCTATGAACGGGGAGTTACTTTTATGCAAAACTTATATTGAGAATGTAGCCCGTCAAATATAAATGTATGAATGTAACAATGCTAATTAGATTATCACATTCAGAGATCGGTACATTTAATATGTATCTACTGGACTGTGACCATGTGATACAGGATTTGCCAAAGGCATGCACGTGAAAATGGAAGTGTTAGGACGAGGCACCTCCAGAAACTTTGCAGTGTCGATCGCTGATTGCACCGCACTGAATTTCTCTGAAAGCATTCAAAATGCACTACACCATTTCGTACTCCGCAAGAAACCGAACCTACGCAGGTTCGATCGCAGGCACGGTGCTACAGGGGCCGCGTCCTTATTATCTTGTCGGTGGGCTGGGAGGGAGGGTGGTACGGATTTGCGGGGACTGTTGAGAGGCGAGAGAAAAAATGTACACGTGGCCCAGTTTCCACGCGTGTGCACTAATCATATTGTATCAATGATCAATGGACACGATCTCTCACTGTTCGGATTTCAGGCAATGGACACGATTGCGCCTTACCCAATCAAAGGAATTCGATGGCAGAATGTGTGTGTGAGGTTGACCCAGGGTGATGTCGTGGCAATAGAGTAAGGTGAAGAAATGACACCGTGTCTCGAAATTAACACGTGGAGTTGCACAGTGACTCCCACAGCACAGAATTACCTACCTAATCGTACCCAATAGCCAGATTCAGCGTAGGCGAAGGTTCTGTTTCTCCTGATGCATCCTACCCGCACCCTTCCCATCCTCTGCTTGAATTCACAGATTAGTCATTCAGTTTTTTCGTCATTTTTGTGCTCCATCGCTGTTTCTCACGCTCGTTCCTCTACTCCCTCCGCGTCGCCTACTTAGAAAAAGCATTTCACAGGCTCAGTCTAGCTGGCGCCAAGGGCAGTGTTTCTCTCAATGTCATTAACCCAAAATCGCGTGCAGGATATTCGCAGGTAATCAGAAATCCTAAGCATTCATATCGGTTTTTTTTTTTTTTTTTTTTTTTTTTTTTTTTTTTTTCAGATCTGTAGTTTTCTTACAATCTGAACAATGTAGGTTTCGTCCGTATCGCGAGTATAAGTGCTCTGCGCAAATGTTCATACTTCTCTTTATCATGCTGCCGTGATTTCGCGTTATTTTCTTTGACGCTGCTTCTTCATCGTGTTTTGTGTGCTATGTTGAGAATGGTTGACCACCCTGCTTGTACACTATGTTTTTCCAGGTGTTTTGCTGCTACTGCACCTACATTTTGACACCCAGGGGTAAGCCAGCATTGCAGGGCAATAATACTTCGGTGCTATGCTTATCTTGATGAGCTGTCCGTTTTTTTTTTTTTTTTTTTTTTTTGCTTTTATGGAAGAATGTGCATATGAGCAGCAGGGTTCTTGCCCTTCCAGGCTATATTCACCAACATTCCTTATGGCATTTCGTGTACCTCCAGGTCTGCTGAAGGTGTTTCAGCCAAAGATTGTTGCTTGGGGACTTCTAGATGTAGGCACATTGAGAATTCGGACTTGGTGATCTGAGTTGTGTCAATCATATACACTTGCATTATACCAGTTTATAAAGTTGGCAAGATTCTACTTGGCAGAATGGAATAAAGGGGGCATTATTGATGTGACGTGAAGGACTGCGTTGCAAAATTTCCTACTTCGTTGGTAAAGGCTTGGAATATGTCGAAGGGAAAGCACAAGATCAAGGCTCCTGGTGCAACTCCAGAGCTGCGAAACGAAAGCAGCCAGGGCGGAGCTGCAGAGGCGCTCCAAGCTGCAGCAGAGCGCATTCGCAGGAGAACAACTAAACGTACCCGCATTGAAGCGCAGGCAGGGAGTAGTCGCATGGCAGAGGACGTGGACGCTGCAGAGATGAATGAGGACCCAACAGGGTATCGCTTCTCCTCCGGTGGTGATACATCGAAGGTGGATCCTGACGCACGCGTGTATCGCTTTGTAAGGACGGCTGAAGGAGGTTCTGGATTCTCGAGGGTGGATATCAAGGAGTTGATATCCATCCTCATAGAGGTTTTGAGCAATCCGGGGCGTCTAACCATAAATTCCCTTGCCGCATTTGATGGCTACGAGAAGTTGCAACTCTCATATGCAAATGTGCACCCTTTCTAGCAGGTTAATCTTGCGAAGGAGGGGGATTTGGAGCCGGTAATCATGTGTCGTCGTTCTGCACTGACATGCGTGGCAAGCCTATACGAGAAAGTGGCAAATGCCGACGGCTTCGTTGTGAAACCGCCGGCAGCCAACATAGATCCTGAAGCTACGCGCATATACAAGGGTCCTGAGACAAGCAATTGATGG